CCCCTAAGAGTGTCTGCAATTTTCTCATCATTTCATGCATCTGAAACAAAACTAATTTACTGCTTGTCATGCTCGGCTTGGCACACACAAACATGAGAGCCAATATGCCACGGCGTGTCATCTGCCGCTGCATCAAAGACAGCGGTTTATACATATATCAGGCTTATCACGGCTCGGCGTGAATCACAGAAGCCGGAGGAAGTGCCTAACGTGGTCTGGCAAAATAAATAAATTTAAAAAAAAAAAACTAATGCATCGGTTCCTTTGCTCATCTTCCTGTTCCCTTTCACAGCAGCATCAACAACAACAACCCTGTGTCGTTGTGTTCTTCTTACGTGATATCCAGCCTGATAGGTCATTCCAATGTCACAACAGATGGGATGTTTTTCACCTCAACCAACAGGCGTACACACAGATAAAGTTATGTGCTCGGCAGAGAGATACCAGAGAGAGAGAGAGAGAGAGAGAGAGAGCTGCAGGCCTTAACCGTCAGAGGGAGAGAAGGATTGAGAAGAAGATGAAAGGCAGCAGCAGAGGAGGCTGCAGGGAGAAAATAAAAGTGGTGCGACAGCATGTACATTATAAAAGCATGTGACAACTTCATTTGACTCCCGGTGCTAATATGGATGAAGAAAATAGAGGAGCTCTAAAACCCTGGATATGTGTGGCCACGTACACACACACACATACACACAGTCAGAGACAATTATAAGTATCTCCTCTGCATCACATATGTGCTGAGTAAAGCATTCTGGGAACAAAGGTTCTCATTAAACGGGACGCTGGGACGTGTATTGATTCTCCTCCCTGCAGAATTTACGGTGCCCATTGTTTGTGAGATCCTCACCTCGGAGCAACGCCGTCTCTGCTCTTGCAAACATCAATATGCAGCTCTATGGTGAATTACCAAAGGGTTAATTACATACTTGTAAGCAATTATTCTCCTAATGTAGCATAGCATGCAACTCCTCTGTCCTCCCTCCCAAATTGGAATTTAGATGAAAAACCCACCAAGCCATCAGACGGTGATGCCATCTTTCTAATGAAGTGTCAACTCAAATATAATAGACTGTGAATCTTGCAGGGCACACTGAGTTTTCAGGCGTACTGAGAGTAAATTCCACAAATGATTGCGTTTATGAGTTCATAGTTAGACAGTTTGAACGCTCCAGTCAGTGGTTACTGTAAACAAGAGATTTAAAAAAAAAGAAGATCTTTGTTCGGAAAAGACAAAATGACTTTACTGTGGGAGCAAAGCCCAGCTGATATTAGGGTCATCCTACATGCTCAAAATATCAATACAAATGTAATGCAACAGGCATGTAAGGCCACTTTTATACCTGCTGTGTCCAAGGTAAGAGTGGTTCTAGATGATGTTTTCACAATTCAGCCATAAAGTCATTTGTCATATTCTGAGCACAGTATTTTCAGTATTGGTATAACTCTATGACCTCTACAACAACAGTGTCCATGGTACAAAACTGAAAAATGTAAATTATCAATATATATATATATATATATTCAATGTACTTGTCCTGACCTCAATAACGAAATAATGAAATTGGCTTAACAAAATTAACATAACACAATTATGTATTTATAGTTTATTAGTATTTAGTCCATGAAGTATTCTAGAATAGTATAGGTATACTAACAGTATATTTTAACAGTATAGGTGGATCATGTTTGTTGTGTCCAGTGAGGTTAAAGGGGATGTGACCGATATTAGCCTGTGCATGGTCGTCCTGTCACAGCCCACAGGAGGGTGTGTGTGTGTGTGTGTGTGAGAGAGAGAGAGAGAGAGAGAGAGAGATCAAGTGGAAAAGACAGCAACAGAACGAGAATGAGAACAAACACTGGGCTCCATTCAGGTCCGACCCACAGACACATCATTCAGACGAACATGACGATACGTCTCTGTGACCAGAGCATTCATATAGGGCCTGGACCCTCAGCAGGGCAGTCACAGATGCATCATTCACACACAGACGCATTAACACACTTCCGCCTCAGGCACTGCTATAGCATTCTTTTGTATTTCCACAATCTCTCCTACTCATATGGTTCACAGCTGACATGGCGATTGCTTACACCAGTGTAGGAACCCCAAAAAACTTGAATCCATGTTTTTACTGCTGGAGTAAGAGTAAGAGTTTATCCATTAGCGAGCCATAATATTGACAAGGTCACACACCTGCGCTCCAAACGCAACATTGGCTAACGGACAGGGGCTGTATGTCAGTGTGAGGTGCTCACAGCCCGATAAAGGCTGCTGCAGCTCCTATAGGCAGGGCTTGATGGACAGCACGGAGGGAGAGAAGGGTGAGGGGAGAGGGGAGGAGCTGGTGGGTTGCCAAGTGCTCCCACAGCCTTCAGGAGTTTCAGAGCAGAGTTGGAATTTGGTGAAAACGACATGAAGGCGAGACATAGATGAGATAGGATTATCAAACTGCTGGGGGACTAAATGTTTTTTCTCTCCTTTTGAGACCTTGACACGATGAAAAGACACACTACCACACACACAGAGACACACACAGGTACATCTGAACAATCAGAAACGAGCTGACGTGAGCAATATCACATAAAAACACCAAGACACAAACACAAAGACGCGCCTGCCAGCCGTAGCTCAGACAAGCAGAGGAATTCAAGCCCGCGGTGTGAGGCAGTTTGCCCTGCAGGCAAGCATATCTCCCTTTTGCCCGACTGTCACAGGCAGTTAAACAGCAACTAATGGACCGCACATCATACAGCAGCATCTAATGATTTGGCTTTCATCTAATAAGCCATGAAAAAAAAAAATCATACTTTGACTCGAAAACAGACTTTTCCTCTGAAAAACAGCTCGGAAAATCCAATAACACAATGATTTAATCAACCACTGCAAAGCCCTGGGCTCAGAAAATCATCTATGGAATGTCCAGTTCTGGAGTAATGTGCTGCAGCACAGGGGTACATGTTGTCAATTAGCAAAGTATTGGGCAACAGGCGTTTAAAATTGCCCAATCACCAGTAGCCCAGTGGATGGGATCAATCTTTCCACTGCAGCAGCAGCCTGTGACCACACTGCCCCTCATGGATTTTCCCAGTATACATAGAGCTGTGTCCCACCGAGCGAGCTCTGTTCAGAGTCTGAATCAAACACTAGAAGACTAGAGTCGCCTTGATCTAACTTGATAATACTGCTTGTCTTCTGGGGTATTTGCCTGAATATGGTAACAGGCTGTGGGGTAGAACCTCAGAGAGGGGGGGAGTTCAGGGTGGGTAACGCTGAATTGATGCATTGAGTGCAGTGGAGTGCAGGTGGATAAAGAGGGAGGGAGAAAAACCAGCAGAGGGGCTCAGAGTGCTCAGTGTGCTCGCTGCTGTACCGCCGATCTGCATTTTACACAGGGCTGGAGCAGCAGCTGTTTTCTGAGCATAATAAGGGGGCTGGGGAGAGGGAGCGATGCCGCAAGAGCAAAGGGGCGGGGGAGGTGGGGGGGGGGCGGCAAAGTTTATGAGCCACATTTGGTATCAAAGACCTACATCAGACTGCAGGGAACGACTACAGATGTTTAAATGTAAAACAGTCAGCTCCATCGCCACACACCTCCCTGGGAACTGACCCCGAGCTGCCCTGACCCACCAGAAACACTGACCCCACAGAGGTCAAAAAAGAGCAGCACAGTCACCGTGTGAAACTTCAGAGCCGCACGGATGATGTAAAAACCTACTATATACCTCACATGCTAAAGAGTACGAACTGCCCTGTACTACATGTCTGAGATACTGTATGCGTACGAGTCCTGCAGTTTGTTAAGACTCTACTAATACTATCTCAAAGATAAACAACATCAACTCAGTACTGCTCAGTAATCGGAGATCACGTGAGCAGAGTGGATTGTGTGGCTTACTTCGTACAACGATACATGACCCTTCATTTGCAGTGTCTGGGGAAAAGGTTCGATTTGATCCTCTTTAAATAATGGATCTTTTTTTCGCCCAACGGAAACAGTTTAATGTTAAAATACACACCATCATGTGACCTTTTAGAAAGGAAATTATAGGACGATCATTGATAATAAAAGTCAAGGGCTTAAGATGACATTAAAACTCAGCTGCCTGCTGCATACTGATCCTGTAGTCCCTACAGAATTCATATGTATCTACACTGAAAGAATAATTCACACAGCAATGCTCCTTTTGTGACGTTCCGACTCTTTTGACTTGTATGGGTCATGGTCAAAAGGAGAAGACTGTCGGGTGCAAGGCATTTCTGAAGCCACATGGGGAGAATTGTGCGGAGAAGACTGCCGGGTGCAGGGCATTTCTGAAGCCACATGGGGAGAATTATGAACCAACATGATCCTGCATAAAGTAATGTGGTCACATGTGGTCACATGGTGAACCAGTAACCCTGACTGTGAAGGACCTTCATGATTATCTTTGACTCTGCCGAGCACCCTGACTAAACATCCTGATAAAAAACAAATGTAACGTGGATTATTGTGTACTTTTGGAGTCCATCAATGACCAAAACCCCAGCTGCTCCAAACATGGGTGCATACATGGCACTGAGGCTGGTCTCGGGTTGGACCTTGGGTTAAATCAGCCAAAGTCACCCACACTGTGTAAATCTGGTGTCGAGTCTTTCTGTTCTTAACCTTCAGAGTTTCACGCCTGCAGGAGGGAACGAGCCGACAGCAGGGATGACATGAAATTCTGGAATATTTATGACGCAGCAGAGCTTATAGACATGTTCTAGAATTCCTCGCCGTGCTACTACTGCGACTAGGACGGACAGGTTCGGGATGAATCCCGCCCAGTCGCCCTGGTGCGCAGAGCCGCCATGGCGCAGCCAGAACAGGTGCAGCGCGCCCCGGATCACCTGCCCGCTGCAGGGGTAACTTCACCTCCGAATACTCCTGAGTGTTGCAGCAGTGAAACAGCCCGAGGACCTACTCTGAATGCAGTGCAAACTAACGCAGTGACAGCCTTCTTTCCCCCGCTCTTCTTACCTGTAATCTATGCAGATCACTTCACAGCCGCAGCCGCATCGACACTGCGGAAATGAGGCACGTCCGGAGCAAAATCCCCAACTCCTGGTATTTCAGCTGCCACCCCAAAGAAAAATGACAAACGCGTAAAATCCTGACGAAATCACTTGACTCTCACTTTAAATCCCGGCTGGTTCTGCTGTTAGAGTTAGGAGATTCCTGTGCGAGAAAGGCTTGAAATAGCAGCGGACTTCCAGCAGCATTCCCCGCTCAGTGAGACTCTACTACGCCGCTCTGTGCGCTCTGGCACCCGGACGCTGCACTTCCCATCCCTCGGCGAGGACGCACTTGGTATGCGCTTGGAAAAGCCGCTGCGCCGTATGGGATACCGCAGGAGGCTTCACTTGTGTGCGTACACGAGTGAGTGTGTGTGTGTGAAGAGAGAGTCAGTGACTGAGTGTGAGTGCGTGCGTGTCTCCGTCTGTGACTCAGTGCGGTGCTCCTGCTCAACTGAGGTGCTGAGGGTGCTGCAGCAGAGTCTGAAAAAAGAGAGAGGGAGAGAGAGAGGAGGAGAGAGGGAGAGGGAGAGAGAGAGAGGAGGGGGCCACAGCAGCAGGGAAGCTGAGTGGATGAGGCTTTGACGGCTGCAGGAAGACCCAGAGACGTGCACTCACTGGACGGATCTCTGTGCCAGCTCAGATGTGGAAAACACCTCGGTAACTTTATCACCAAACAGTCTGACGATGAACATTGACGAGCCGTTTAACTTACAGCAGTGGTTCCCAACGTAGGGGGCAGGTCCCCCCCTTGGGAACAAATTGTCCAGTGTTGACAATGTGTCAACACGGGACATCTGCACTGATTTGTAATTGTATTTCCTTTGTTCACAAAAACTGTAGTTTTCTAGGAATTCGCTGTTTTTAAAAAATAAAAATAAAGTTCAGATTTGAAGCAATAGCGCCCCCAGTGTCTAGTTGTTTGTTTAAGTTGATTGACACATGCACATACACTGAATAATGTAACTTAGAAGTAAAGGTGGTTTATGTAGAAAATGGAATAAAATCATTCATCGTGGTATTTTTTTCTTTAGGTACAGAAAGTATTGAGTGGAGTATTTATCAGGTGGAGAAGAACTACAGTTGAGAGTAAGTAGTAATGGAGTAAATATTTAACTGTCTGTGTGATACCTTTCATAGCAATTCATTAACAGTAAAGCTGAAACTGTAGGCTACGTTTAGAAAACCATGAAATGACACATCATCATTTCATGGTCAGGAGTTGACAATGTTTTCGGGGGTGTACGGCTCTGAAAAACAGCAGACACTTTGCGTTATATAGTACAACATTCAGCTCACCGACCTCGAGATGCAGTTCTTAAATATTAAAGGGCCATTAGTAGTGGCCAAACATAAAATAAAAACCACCTTTTTTTTGTCAGGAAATGTCGACCAAGTCACAGAGCAGTAACGTGTTGCATTCTTTTATTTTAAATTCAAAGATTCTCAGGACCAGACCTTGCGTTTGCGGCTAAAAACAAAGAGATAAAAGAGGATCTGAGATTAAATGAAGAGCGATCTCTGCAGTGAGACCTGGCTCCTACAGACAGACAGATGAGAGTTCATCCCTTTGAGATCGGATTGGGCGACGCCAAAGGGGAATTAACCCAAATCAGATCATGGGATTTGAATATCTAATCGGGGGATCATTTAAAGACAGAAATTATGCAACAGAGCCTCATAATTATGACACTTGCAATGGTTGCAGGGCATCACACTCTGCAGCTTTGCTCTTTGATGCTCCTTTTAAACACTGCGCTCCTCATACATTAATATTTTAAACGTCTAATTATGTAATCATGTCTTCAACAAAGTAATCCTCGGTTCAGGGTGGGGGGAAATACAGACTTATTAATCACAAACAGACACTTTAAGCTTTTTTTTTTTTCCTCCTCACAATCGGCAAATAGACAAGTACAGGGCACGCAACACTGACGCATGCTGTTTGTTCTGTCACAGATCAACTGACTCCAATATTGAGCCCAGTTGGTCTAGGAAATATTAGTGTTTTGAACCCCCCCTCCCCCCCTCTCCCCGTCTCCACCCTCTCCTCCACCGTCCAAGATGGGACACAGAGTTACACAAGAAATGGAGAAAACAACTTAATGAGAAAATGTAAACCAGCTGACTTGGAGTTCAGAGCGTCCAAAACTGGCCATTCTGTCAACACACTCAAACCTTGGATGGAGTTTGAACTTTGTGGGAGGTGAAGCCTGGAGACGTCAATGTTCTGCTGCTGCAACATCCATCCACTCACTCACTCACTCTCACTCACTCACTCTCTCTCTCTTCCCCCCTTCCCGCCTGCATGTTCCCACTCTCGTCGGAAGGACAGCTTGAGCTTTAAACACTGCATCAGAGCCCCACCTACAGGCCACGGAGATTCTGCAGCCACGGTGACACTGACAGAAAGTGCAGAAGTGCTGACGGGAAGCTCGGCGTGAGATAGAATTCAGGTCACGTGGAAAGACTTTAAAAAGGCTTTGAATTATTTTCTCAGAACGTCGACTTCTCAGAAGAGACACAACACACACGCGCACACAGTTAATTTACGGTAAATAGTGTCGCAATCCAGAGGCTAAATGTCCCAATCCTGACTTAAAACAATTGTAAATTTACGGAAAAATGTAAACTCGCAGAGGGTCTCAGGATTCTAAAAGTCATATATACATAAAATTAAATAATACTAAAATATATTACTAACAATATGTGACAAAAAACTGTAACAATAGAACTGTCAGTAAAGCTGTAATATTAGGTTAAAAAGAACTTAAGGGGGAAACAACAGAATAGAAAGAGAGAGAGAGAAAAAAACAAGTTTGATTTACACTAAGAGTTTTACTAAGAGTTTAACACAAAAAATAAAACTACAATATTTTCAGAAACCTGCTCAAACCTTTTTTTCCTTAAATAAACCTGTTGGTATTTTCTGTACAACTTCTGTTGACATATGAAGCTAACCTCCAAGCTAACGTGTACAGTACCTGAAAATCATGGTGTCACGACAGTGTCATCAGACGATGACACCTCCCCACCACTCCACCCTCCACCACCAGAGGAGCAACAGGAATGTATTTGAATGACAACAAGTTACAGTTCTAAAATCTACTCAATTTAATTACTACTAATGAATCAAAAACTCATCTTCTTCTGGTTGACAATTACATTCCAAGTGTATTACTGCCACCTATTGCCTAAAATGTAAAAACAGCATTACTTAAATTGAAATTAAAGTTAAAGTTTTAAGTCGTTTTAAAACATGAGAAGTCCATTTTATAAATTTCTATTATTATTATATTATCTGCAGTCGTTCCGTTCACAGAGCAGGTCTGGTGTTTACCAGAGTAAAACTGACATCTGCAGTCGTTCCGTTCACAGAGCAGGTCAACAGTAGGTGTGTGATGGAGGCGGTCACTACATCACTGACAGTCTGTTATTGTCCGGACGTCTCAGACCTTCAGCATGTGCTCATTTATTACACGTTGCTCTGCTCCACATTGTTGCTCCGGCAGTCGTTTGAAGGGTGAAGATGCGCCGATATAAACAAAGCTATTGACTTGATTTAATTATTCAATACCGCCACGGCGCTAAATCAACAGTCTGTGGATCTCAATATCAGATAGCTTTCAAAAGCGCGGCAAATCAATAGCGCCGCAATCTACAGTGACAATAGTCATTCTGCCGCAGGGTCAGAATCCCGTGACCTTATGAAATGAATGTCGAGGTCGCTGGTCCACGTGTAGATCAAACAAGCTCGGAGCAGATGATAATGGCTGTGTATAATTATGTTTTATCACAGCAGCAGCTTCCTATCTGTGTGCTGCATGAGCATGTTTTAATTCACTTCAAGGACACACACACACACACACACACACACTCACAAACACACACACACAGGTTCGATGTGTGACATCTCAGCAGATTTACATGCGTATAATGCTCTCCAGTTAATAGAATGCAGTACAGAACATTTATTTGAAATGAAATCCTAAAAGTAGAAACGGAACTTAATTAACGTGTGACGCTCCCGCTGTTGCTAATGTTGACTGTCAGATTTAGTCTAGATGAGCTGAGTCCAAAATTGTGGAAAAGATGTGGTGCCTGTGACTTTTTTTTTACGCCCCCGTAGTGGGTTAGTAAGGTGAAGATATTGGTTATTTATTTTAGCTCATTTGATCTAAAGGATTTGATCTAATTGAACAAACTCTTAAGCTACCGCTGCAATGACGTGTGGTTATCTGTTAGCTAACTTTAAGCTTGAACTTTTTCCCACTCACCTGTTATGTAATGATTACATTATTCCATTAGTTTTTCTGTTCAGATCTGTTGTTTTCTTGTAGCTTATTTTTTTAGTTGTGTGTGGAAACTTTAATCACAATGTGCATCTTGGTACATTAATTATGCAGTAAATTATTTTATTATGAATACATGTTTTTAATGCTGGTCATTTAATGCTAAATTAACATAAAAAAAAAACCAAAACAAAATATTTGAAAGCTTTGATCACCTCTAGTGTCAGTATCAGAGTTCTCAACTTTAAAGTCCAGTCCTGTCACCAGTCTCCTACAGGCTGTCCCAAACTGCTGCATTCAAATAAACAGTCTTGACCAGATGTTTGGTTAAAGGTTCATCAAACGTGTTCCTGCTACATGAGTAGCTTCGTGGGCGAGGACAGAGGAGGACAGGAGGCCGCTGGTCCCGACGCTCGCCCCCGCTCTTTATTAAAATGCACTGACCAATTTGACTTAGCCATTTGTCTTGCAAATGAGACGATGACTTACGGAGGCAACACCACCAGCTCTGATGAAGCCTCCCCTTTAATGCAGTGGAGTGGGTCGGAGGGAGGTGTATCAGTGTGTTGATACCCTGCTGCCAGCTGGTGCGGGGTTATCTCAGCAGCCCTCCCTGTC